AAGAACTAGAGGAAAGTTGTATGTTTCATTGTTGCTACACTGCACCCTGACTGGCTCGTCTTCTCCCCGTAACCCTCCTGTAAGGGGATGTTCCAGTTGCCTACAGATGGGCTTTGAGTCTCCATTCCACATTTCCCCTCATTCACAATTATATGATTTTTTGTTCTTTGATGCCTGGTCCCTGATCCCTTCAACATTTCATGATCACACAGGCTTATGTGCTTCTTCCATGTGGGCTTTGTTGCTTCTCAGATAGATGGCTGCTTGTTTACCTTCAAGTCTTTAAGACCCCAGATGCTGTATCTTTTGATAGCCAGGCATCATCAGCTTTCTTCACCATATTTGCTTATGCACCCATTTGTCTTCAGCAATTGTGTCAGGAAGGTGAGCATTATATGGAATGCCAGTTTAATGGAATAAAGTGTTCTTGCATTGAGGGAGTACTTGAGTGGAGGCCCAATATCCATCTGCTACCCTAATACTAAACCTATAAAAATATGCACATAGATCTATTTTCCCATCATTATATATAAATATATTTACACATGAACATGCCTGTATTTAGACTTCTATAAATGCCCTTTGCTTCCTAGTTCTTTTCTCTATTTCCTTTTACTTTCCTCTTGTCCCACTATTATGCTCAGCCTTCATTTGGGTTTCAATAATTCCTCTTGGTTACATTGCCCTTGATCAATCCCTACCAAGCCTCTTACACCCTCCTTGGCATACTCAGCCATTTTTAACTGAATACCTACTACATGCCAGGCATTGTTCTAAGGGTTAAGAATACACAATAAAGACAACATGTTGTGTATTCAAAGACCTTATATTCTAATGAGGGTGGACAGATAAACATTATTTATAAAGTGGTGATTGGAGATATAAAAGAAATACAACAATGATGGTAGACTTGTGTGGGAGTGGAGTGAGGCATCTATTGCTCAATGCTAACAGAGCGCTAAAGGAGTCACGAAATCCTGCATAAGAAAAATGAAGAATACTGATAATGGTTTCCAGGAGACAATTGTGAGTGCTGGGAAACAGACAGCGTGAAGATCTTGCCAGAGACACAGACAGAATTCTGGAACTATGTTTTCATTCATACCAAAATGATACCAAAACCAAAACCCAGTGCCATTCAACTGATTCCAACTCATAGCGACCTTATATAGGCTTTCCAAAGTCGAAATCTTAATGGGAGCAGGCAGCCTAATCTTGAGCAGTCTACTGCTTACGCAATAGCACCAGCCACTAGGGTGTCACCAGTCCTATCCATGGCCATCAGAATTTCTGGGTTCTTGATCCAAGCCTCTACCATTTCTCAGATTATTTCAGCTGTCTCCCGGAGGATTGACGCCTATCCCATCTCATGTCTATTTTTAACTCCGTGACCACAATAATGGTTTTAAAACCTATCAGGATGAACCTTAAAAACACTGTGCTGAGATAAATAAATCAGCACGACAAAGATTGCATGAGTCCCCAAACTAAACTCACTACCATTAACTCACTGCATCAGACCCAATGTGACTCAAAGGAATTCTACATGACGCGCAGCTGACCTGTCCCATAAGGTTTCCAAACCTAATAAATCTTTATTGAAGCAGATGGTCACATCTTTCACCCAGGGAGTGGCTGGTGGGTTCAAACTACTGACCTTTTTGTTAAAGCTGTGAGGCAGTCTGAGAGAAAAATAAATGGGTCTAAGGTAAAGAGTCCTTCCTTAAGAAAATGCTAGAGGAAGGGGAGAGCGGGGAGGGAGGGGAAAAATGAGGCCCTAATGCCGGGGGTTTAAGTGGAGAGAAAATGTTTTGAGAAAGACGAGGACAATGAATGTACAAATGCGCTTTACACAATTGATGTATGGATTGTGATAAGAGTTGTATGAGCCCCTAATAAAATGATTTTTTTAAAAAAGGAAATGCTGAAAGCCCCCACTACACTAGGTTCCCTTGTTATACGCCCACTGCACCCCGTCGTGCTCCCCAGCATTTTCATACTAGTAATTTACATATTTTTTGTCTACTACTTTATTTCTCACTGAAATATAAGCAACACAAAGGCACTCATCTGCCTTAAGCATTATAAAATGTACCATTTCCCATGACTGACAAAGAGGAAGAGCACCTACATCCAAGCTAGCTGATGCTGCCGTGTGCTCTCCTTGTTCCACTAAGAGATCCCATGCCTCTGCTCAAACACCTGGGCAAAAAGGATATTCAATATCTACTCTCTCTACAAAGCCGCCCGTTTCATCTCCAAACAATGCTCATGCAGTCTGTACATTAAGCTCAGATCAGGCTTCCCACCAAGTCTCAGTTCCATTCCTTGGCATCAAAAAGGATCAATTCAATGCCTCTTTCACATGAGACTTTCAAAGAGTTAAAGGATGCTATCAAAGCTTTTTACTTTGAGCTAAACAGCCCTCATTCCTTAACTATTTCTCACATGGGTCAAGTGTTACTATAATCCTGCTTATTCTCTTTTAAGCCTACTCTATTTATGTCGAATGTAGAATGTAGTCCCCCAAATCTGAACACAATGCATGCAAGTACTGTCACCTGACAGGCAGTACCTACATGGGGACTAGATGAATAAACGAAAGAGCATCCACCTAGCGCTGCCTCCAGAGGCAGTCCCTGGGGGACAAATGTGCAGCTTACTGACAACTCCTGCTTGCTCTTTGATGCAGGGTTTCTGACCAATTCTTTTTTTTTTTCCAGTTTTTAATCAATTCTGTCCTGGCTGACAAATGGAAGTTTTATAACTCAAGTGCTCTGTCATGGTTACCGAAACAGGAGAAATGACCGGTCACAGCTCCGAAATGGTGGAGAAGGGGCAGAATCATCCCTCTCAGAAGCCTGCTGTGTCCGCCTCAATACTGGCAGGACTGTGGATTGCCACACAGTCCAAATGTTATGGTCAACTTTGAGCAGCGGCTGCCACCTTTAAGTGTGACACCATCATCTCCAAAATCCTGCTTTCGTTGGCCCTCACTTTGAAAGGAGAAGCAAGCCCTACTCACAACAACACGTCTGTCACGGTCACCTTTACTTGTCGCACACGCAGCGTTTAGATCACCAATAAGGCTTCCCCCCTTTTTTGCCGTACCCACATCCATCCCCAGCCCCCCAAATCCCACTGTCAACAAGTGGGCTTATGCCAGCTCATAGGGACCCTAGAAAGAGAGAGGAGTTTTCTGGCAGGTCCCAAGGCTGCTACATGGTGCAGCTGCTGGGGAGCTCCTGCGGGGTGGGAAGCACCACCATCCTGCTTAGCAGCCGAGCACAAGGACCCTTTCCTGCACTCAGGCCAAATCCAACCCACCGCCATCACGCCGACCCTACAGCGGGATTCTGAGGCTGCAAGTCTTCATGGGGGCAGACACTGTCATGTTTCCCCAACTGCCAGCCTTGGGGTGAGCAGACCATGGCCTAACCCACAGGGCGCCAGGGCTCCCTTCATGCATGACAGGAGGCTAACTAAGAACCGTGTGCACATATCTTCAAGAATTCTGGGTGGAATAGAAGCAGGTCTCGCTTGTAAGCCAAGGATGGCTTGTACCTTATTTCTGTCACTGTAGTTCTATATACCTATATTTAGAAATTTTGACATATATACTCTTTGACATTGCTCTTCTTGTTAAGAAAAATGTGGAAAATCTTTTAATATGCCTAAGTTTATATCTCAGAAATTCTGTACTAGAGCAAATAACATGTGGAGGAGTTCAAAGATCTAAACTACACAAAACATTTTAGGCTTTGGCTTTTTGATTTTACATTTGGAAATAACATGGACTATATTAGTCATGGAACAGGTACAAGCATGATTTAAAGCAATTTACTTGGAAGCAAAATGAAAGCTACAAAACATTAAAGTTTAAGCGTCTATTAAGGAGCCCTGGTGGCACAATGGGTAAACGCTAAGCTGTTAACCGAAAAGTCGATGGCCTGACCCCATCAAGGGGTTCCCATAAACATGGCAGCACAGGAAACCCTGCCGGACAGTTCGGCTCTTGACCTACAGAGCAATGGGTTGGAATCGATGTGCTTCTAGTAGTACTACTTCACTGGTATCCACCCAGCAGTGGGAGAAAAGGCCTGGCAATCTGCGTCCTTTAGGAGCACAGCGAAGAAACCCCGATGGAGCAGTTTCACTTAGCAACACTGGTCACTCTCTTGCTGCCAACGAATGACAGCTATAAGCAGCTCAGGAAAGCCTGAACAAACACTTTCTAAGCAGAGTTTATCAGGACTTAAAAAACATAAAGATTTCAATGGTCTATGTCCCCACTCACTGTCATACTAGGAGACAAATTATGTGTGAAATTCAGAAGGCACATAAGCATTTCATCCGCATGGCACTCCCTCGGTCAGAAGGGCTTACATTTACACTAAGAAATGTGTGATTACCTGTGGTTCAAAACCCATGTCAAACATTCTGTCTGCTTCATCTAAAACAACATACGTCACCCTTCGAAGATTTGTGACCCGACCTAACAGGAGGAGAAAAAATAAAGACAAACAGAAAACTGAAAATCAGTCACAATTCACTTTGCAACTACCAAGAACTTTAAAAACTGTAAAGGGAACTAAAATGCCTGACTTAAAGGGGTCGATTAAGTCTCTTTAAACAGTGAAAAACGGTTTTGGTCTACAATGTCTTTATCTAGTGGCAAATACTTTCTGACAATGGGTATATGAGGCCCTTTATTTGTCAAACTCGTCTCTTGCATACCATCATAGGGCCTGAAGAACCTGTAAAATTCAGAAAACAGCCCTCTCCAAAACACATCATAAAACTAAGACTGAGATGAAGCATGGGGCCACATCAGCCATTATCTGACAGCATCACCTAGGAGAAAGCATATTAGAGATTACAGCGCATGTGTGGGAGGCAGGCTCCAGTGCTAACTATGTCAGGCGCAGAGACTTCTGTTTACGTTATTCTACAACTGACTCACACCGTTAGAAAAGTCTAAGGGCACGTCAAAACATTCATGAGAAGCTATTTATCATCAATAGGTAATTACTCAAAAAAACATCAAACACATTACATAAATACATTTCACAAAGATACAATTTCAATTTCATTAATTGTTCCTACTGGCTTACATAAATACGCTGATTTCTTGAACAGTAAAAAAACTACACACACACACACACACACACACACACCCTTTCTGAAGGATTAACAAAGCATTTTTATCAACTGTTGAATCAATCACTTGGCAAAAACATCTCTAGGTTGTTATTAAAGATAAACCAAAAGGACAGAAAAGGGAAAAAGGCAAAATTAATTAAGATGAATTTCAGGAGACTTAATCAATGTAGCATTGAAAACAAAAACAAACGAATGAATTATTTAATCAGTATAAACCCCCAAGCTTTTCATATGCTGTGTAAGTACAAGGACTTGTCAATGTCAAAGCCATTTTGCCAACTTTATGCAGGATTAGGAGTTTGTACAGAAGTGCAAGCAGAGTGCTATAAGAAACATGCATTTTACTCACAGTTTAATACTCTTGCTTATACTGAATATTTCTATAAAAACTTTTGCAAGTATTTTATTCAAAAAACTAGAAATGGGGCAAAATAATCTCTCTAATATTAAAGTATTCAACAGTAACATTTGTAGCCCCAATTAGTTTTACAAGGTTGGGAACAGCATTAAATTACCTACCTTTGATGGTTTAAGTCTCGGAAGCCCAGTTCTATAAATCTTGAAGGGCCTTTCTCCACAGAAGTTAAATAATGTCAACAGTTTAGTAACAGTTTTGATAGGAAATAATTTAACAGTGCACAACAGTTGAGCTAAAACATGCAATATTTACAAAAGATAAAATTTCTTGAAGCTGCAATATTTTAATTTATACAGTATTGTAAGAAAATACTACTTCCTCTGGGGGGGAGTAATTCTAGGTTTTGTAACACAGAATAGCCCCCACCATTTTATAAGCAAAGGTAGACCCCAAAAGGATGAAGAATCAGCACAAGAGCCCAGAAGGGGAGCTAGTTCTGCAAAACAATTTAAAATGAAATTCCAAAAATCTTATGAACACATACAATCATAAACTTAATACAATACAAACGTTAAGATATTACAGCTTTAAGAAGAAATGTAGAAACCTTTTGGTGGTTTCTTACACCTGCTTTACTAAAAATGTACAGAATTCAAAACTGAGAGAAAAGAAAACAAAAAAACACCGACTTACCACTGTTAGCTGCTAACATGTCAATCATTCGACCAGGTGTGCAAACAATAATTTCAGCACCTCTTTTCAGCTCAGCAATCTAATAAAAAATGATGAAATTTTATAGTCTATTTACTAATGCTTTTAAAAAAAAACAGAGCTAAAAAGACTCCATCTGGTCTGGCTGACCCTCCACTCTCTAGGGCACACGAGATCTGGTGTGAAGAGTCCACGCATCCTGGTTAATTCTATAGGACACTGCTCCCTCACGAAAGTAATGGTTAAAGTCTGCCTTGAATGTTAAATGAATGGAAACTACACACTTTCACCAGTCTTCAATCGCCACTATTCCATAAAATCAAGAGAAAAACATGAGAGGAGTAAATAAAGTGATGCAGTGTTTTCCAAATTAAAATCTGCTGTTAGTGAATCAAGAATTAATTCAGTAGCTCACAACCAAAATTTTAAAATGAAGTTCAATAGAAAATATTAGAGTAGATTCTATGAGACTTTTGTTGCATTTCCATATAAATGTAATAAACATGTAGGTACCAAGTTAACCAAATTAAAGTTTGATCATCGTGAAGTGAATCATGAAATCAATTTCACTATTTTAATTTGGTAAAATGTATTTCTTACTATAGATTGTGGTAACACATTACAGATGCAGGTAAACTTAGAAAATGAACTAAGTTCAAGTTCCTAAAAGTAACAAGTGGGATAAAAAAACGAACATTCCCGAAATCTGTTATTACACTCATCCTAAGAAAAGGGTCTTGTGGTGAAGCTCAAACAGTATGACTAAATTGATCCCTGTCTTCTGGATCACAATACACATTAGCTTACGAATAACTAGAGGCCTTAAAGGAATAAAACCCGTTTCAACTTTGTGTAATCTAAAGATTGAATAGTTTATTTAAATATATTGTTGTTGTTTAGATTTTGAAGAAGAAATGTGAGATTATCTAGGATATGCCCATGTTTTATGGATAAGGCTCTTTAGATGAAGGAGCCCTAGTGGTGCAGTTGGTTAGGTGCTAAGCTGGCATAGGGAGGTCAGCGGTTCAAGCCCACCAGTTGCTCTGCAGGAGAACGATTATGGTTCCTGACCTCGGGAACCTTATAAAGTTCTAATCTGTCCTACAGTATCACAGTGAGTCAGAATCACTTGGGCAGTAGCAGGTTTGGAGTTTGGTAACATTCAGATCAGTGCTCTTATCTCATTTGGTCCATCTTTCTATTTAGATTTGGGGTGATTCCAAGATTCACTGTCTAGGAAACAACCCACATCTCCCACATGGAAGGTGAGAAAGGGAACACCAATCCCCCAACCCTATTTAAGTTTATCCATAAACCAATTTATCAGTTGCTGTCAAATCAATTCCAACTCACGGTAACTGTGTCAGTGTTCTTTCTCAAACTGTTTCTGTTTGTTTGCTTCATATGCAGTAAAACAAACGCCAATTCAACTGTTGCTACGTGTGTAGTGGCAGTGACATCCACGGGATTCCCAGTGATTGATTTTTCAGAAGTAGATCACTAGATCTTTCTTCCAAGACACCTCTGGGGGGCTTAGAAGCTCCAACCTTCTAGCAGCTGAGCGTATGAGCTACTTTCATCACCCCCATCCCTGCTTCTTCTAACTAAAGCAAAACATTCTATGTGTGTTGTTCTTTAGAAGACACTTGGAGAAATAATTCTTGCGTTTAAAATGATTAAGGATGAAGATGAAGATGTGACTAATGCACACGCCACTCGTCACCACCCTGTACAGAGGTCAGCACAGACTAGAGGACTTAAAACGCTAGTTCTCGGGGAAGCTGCAGCACAGGCTGACCCAGTAACTTGGACAACCTATTTTTCTGAGTATTTCCTTACGAATAAAATGGGGAAATTACTCCTTGTGCCAGAGGAGAGTCGGGGGAAGGAACGGACCAAGAGAGTACTAATATAAAAATGGTTAGAAAATCCTAAAATACAGTACTAGCATAATTCATTCTATTATTTTCATACTTCAAATGCCTTAAAATTTTAGAATTAACCACTACTGAACAGTTCACTAAAGTGGAAAATCAATTTAAGAAAACAAAAGAACTGAATGCTACTTTGGCTACCTGCTCGCTGATTCCTGTTCCTCCATACACACAGACCACTCTCAGTCCCAAGGTCTTCGAGAACTTCTTACATTCTTTAGTAATCTGCAGAGCCAGCTCCCGAGTTGGAGTCATGATGACAGCTGGGAAGACAAATATGTCAAAACTAACCTCCAAAGCTCTTTCAAGGCTATGCTTTTTAAATAGCATAAAGTGTAAGGTCTTCAATGAAGTACACACCTTAGTCTAGTTTCCATTTTAATTTGCCTTTAGCATTTCTGAAAATTGTTTTCAGAAGCTGTTTAAACAGCAGTGATTGCCCTGAAGGATCATTTTAAGAAACTAGTGTGATAAGAACATGCTTCAGGAAGACAAATGAGGGTCAGTCAATCCCCACAAAAATACTTGGATAAAATACAAATCGCAGAGCAAAAAAACTAGAGTGACTCACTGGGCAGCAGAAGGGATACCACTATGCCAAAAACAGCCTAGCTCTGAGGAGTCCATATGAGAGAAAGACACTGTGCCCTGTTTCCCAAGGACAACTGAAAAACTGTCCAAAACCCTACTCAGGCACGTAGAAGAAGTCTCTGCCAAAAGGAACCAACACATTTGAATCTGAATACTAATCCTGAATGAGATGCTAACATTTTAACTTTTTATGGCCCCAAAAGGGGGAAAATATGAGGAAGCATCAAAGTTTACAGAAAATTCCATTATCTTTTAATTCCATTCTTCTATAAATTCTTTGAAGCTCCCTTATACACATCCCTACTTTCTTCAATGCCAGAAGAAGCCTGCTCCTAGCACAATCACTACGGGTTTGGTAGGCGCAATTGTACAGCGATAATAAGTAAATATTATAGTAAAGTTATAGAGAGCATGAGAGATAAAAGAGATATATAGAAATAAATGGAGCCAGACACATTTCAAGGTAGCATGCTCACCTCAGCCCCGCTTGGTGGTCCACGTGTAGGGAGTGAGTGAGTACTTTAATGCTCCCCAAGCTTTTATACTCTCTGGGGACATTGGGGACGTGCAAACCCCCACATTACAGGTGAAGACATACGTCACAGGAAAGGGTTGTGCTACAGGTATTACAGTGATGGGAGGAGGTGATCTAGGAACATATGCACTACAGGAGGAGGGATTGGGGGTGTACATGTGGCAAGATGGGCGGATCCTAGATTTCTGGTAGCAGCTTAACTAGACTTTGGGTCTCCACAGGAACCATTATCAGTTGGGTGTGAACTCCGCCCACAGGAACCAAACTAATGGCCTTAGGCTCCAGCATCAGGGAGCAGGCCCACCCCTGTGGTGGGATGAGACAGCAGTCTGGCAACTGATTGCCTTCAGGTGGGTAATGCCTGAGCATCTGACCTCCCCCCACACTTCAATGTTGAGGTCCTAAGTCCACTGATACCGCACTGGGTACAAACCTCAACAAAGATAAACAGATAGATGCACGAGGAGTCTACCTGCCGAGTCACAGTCAAAAACTGAGCTGTGCCAGGAGAGGCTGTTTGTGTACTTCTGAGATGTCATCCCAGAGCTCTGGAGACTCTCACTCCACCTGCTGGTAGGGGAAAGCAGTCCCAAGGAGCGGAATTGATAGAGGAATGTACATAAAGACATCTTTATGGTCATATGCAAGCATAACAGAAAGTACCAGGTCTTTCGGATTAACGGACAGTAACACTGTTATCTGAAAAAGAACATAATGCGAATGAAAGGAATTTTACCTATCGGTCCCTCTCCTTCTTCTAGCGACCTCTGATCCATGATGTGTCTGAACATGGGCAACAGAAAAGCAATGGTCTTCCCACTTCCTGTCTTGGCGATGCCAATCAAGTCTCGTCCAGACATTATGGCAGGAATCGCTTGGGTCTGGATTGGTGTGGGCTTTTCATAGCCATGTCTTAAGAAGAAAACCAAAGTTGGACAAGACCAAGAATCAAATGAATCTCAAGCTTCCATAAGAACAAGCAAACAAAAAAGAAAGAAAGCACTAGTACATGTTCAAAATGGAAGAACTTTTACAATATTAGGAATGAGTAAGATATGTCAATAAAAATATTAAGTGGGGGTACTAGAGCTGAGCGCCTTTGGGCAGCCTTTTTTGGTATTCTTAAGAGCTTTGTAACATTGGCTGACAAGGACAGAGGCCAAGTCAAGTGGCTGAGAGAAGAGTGATGTCAGTCTTGACGAACAACTGCATTTGAGCATTTCTTAGCTGAACTGAGAAACCCTGCAATCATGCGCAGTTGTGAGCAGTGTGACCCCTGCAGTGAATTATCCAATTCAGCTGAAAAGTAGAGTGTGCTGTTGGACAGCGGGGGTCAGAATAGGCTTCAGAAGATGGAGGAGTGTCTGACCTCTGCCCTGTGGCAATTGAGCTTGGGAGCCAGAGGTGAAATGTGGCCCTCATATGATTTCTTCAGGGATAATGAAAATTTTCTAAAACTAGGTAATAGTTTCACAACCCTGCGAGTATAATAAAAAACAATGAACTGTACACTCTTAAAAGGTAAACCCGGTGGCATGCAATAAAGTTGTTTAACATCAGAGTGAAAATGTAACAAGGAAGGATTTATACAGAAGGGCAGTGCTGAATAGCAAGCAAGACACTGAAAAATATGACACCACTGACTCACTTTTTGAGAGAATTTAAGATCTTCATGGAAATTCCACACTGAACCCAAGATTTAATTGGTTTGGGGCAGCCTTTCCCCTTGACTGTAATGCCCTCCATTTCCAATCGAAATACATTCACTTCTACGAAACAAAATCCAGATGAAAAACTCTTACATTGTTCTTTTGTTGGTGACTTGTACTGCTCAATTAGGTATGGTGAGATTAAGAATCTTTAACTCTGCTTTTAATGCTATAAAATAATTTTACAGAAGCGCTACTGGAAGAACGTAATAGCTAATGAAAGTAATTGCTGTTGCCACCAACTAAGGACAAACAGAAATATCTCAATTTGAATAATCTGCCTTTGGTTTTGTCTTAAATTACAGCAGCAGTAAAAGAGTAAATGACAAGCAATATAGCTATTTTTTCCCCCAAACTCACACTACCCTTATACAAATTTACAGAGTTTCTTAACTCAAAAATCCCAGAAGAAAAAGGTTGCCAGAAATCTCTTTATTTGCCAACTTCCAATACTAAAATTTCAACTACACGAGCCAAACTAAGTTGATTTTTTAAATTTAGTATTTCTGGTAACATCCTGATTCCCATTCAATGGCCTCCATTGTCTAGTTCCTTCTCTCCCTTGGCTGGTAAGCCAGGCCACTCCTCTCACTCATCCTACAATAAATATGGAAGCCTACCTACATTCCACCGCCACCACTACCACCTCCGGCCCCAGGGTAAAGGACGCGAACCTTCCTCTGTTCCCATTATAGCAAATAAATTAAATGACATTTACCCTCTTGAGACATTTTTGCTAGTTCTGGAACTTCAACATAGAAGTTTTTTCTAAATGGTTCATATTCAATTTTTCCATGGTCTACTGGTTCTAGAAGCTTCCTCTGTTTTGTCTGATAGCCTGTAAGGGCTGTCTGAAGATCAACTTCTTCTTCCTCTGAAGAATACTGTAGTTTAAAAGAAAGCTAAGAGTTAAGGGCATTGTTCTTTTTCCTTTATAGCAAGCAGTATTTTTAATGATTTTCCTGGGGGCTCGTACAACTCTTATCACAATCTATATAGACATCCATGGTCTCAAGCACATCTGAATATCTGTTGCCATCATCGTTTTCAAGGCTATCAATCTTTACAACAGCAGACTGCCACATCTTTCTCCCACAGGCCAACTAGGGGTTCCAACTGCTGACCCTGTGGTTCCCGGAAGACTTCACCACCATCCCATAGGTTACTCTCTGTGCTGGGCTATCAATGCAAATCTCAGTCACTTTGAGACCTCAAATGTCTGCCACTTCTGGTGGAAATAGATCAGTGTATGAAGAACTTCTCTCCTTCATTTCTTTTTAGCTTTGTTTTACAAAGTTATAATCCCACGAAAATAATAATCTATAACCCATCAAGGGTTCGTGAGAGAGGGCGTGCGGGGGTGGGAGGGGAAATAACTGGGGAGCTGATATCAGGGGCTAAAGTGGGAAGAAAATGCTTTGAAAATGATGAGGCAGCATATGTGCAAATATGCTTGACACACTGGATGAATGTACGGATTGTGACAGGAGATGTAAGAGCTCCCAATAAAAGTATTTAATAAAAAACAAAGAATAGAGAACCTAAAAAAGAAAAGTTATAATCCCAATGTAAAGCTAAAATAGTATAGAAATTATTTGAGGTGACCTTAATAAACTTTTTGTACAATAACATATTGTTTGTTCTATCTTTACAACACATGTTAACAGAACGAAACTTAATTAACTCTCACTTCATTTATTCTATTTCTCTTATGTGCCTGAGGCATGCCCGAGAGAGGAAACCCTCTCGGTGGGCACATAGCAAGTGGCCTGAGAATGCTCTATTTTTTTTTTAGGCCGCCACTGCTCCCCAGGGCTGGCCGAAGGCCATGTAGCGGCAGCCACCGAGAATGTTCTATTGACTTGACAATTCAACTGCCATACTACTGAGAACAGAGATGATTCCTTCTAGGAGTTTTTAACTAAACTGACATTGCTTTCTTGTAAGCATATGTCAGAGAGTGACACAAAGTCAAAGTGCAGGCAATTCCCTGACCTAACTTGCTGGGTCTCGGAACCCGCCCAGGGGTTCAAGACGCCCCCGTCCTCTGCTCTCCCTTCCCTCCCAGGAGTTCTTTCCCTGCCTCAATAAAGTCCTTCTCAACTACAAAAAAAAAAAAAGTCACAGTGCTCCGGGAATCACCTCCATGGCGTCCTGGTCATTCTCCATGAGCTCGCCTTTCTTCTTATCGGCATCGACAACCGCTTTTTTGGTAGTCACGACCGTGACAACTTTTGTGACAGTTGGCCCAGACTTCTAAAATCAAAGAAATATAAAGGATTTCACGAAGCATAACGATAACTATTACAACCTATGGGAAAAATAAATTAACTTCAGTTTTAGAGACGTATTAATTAAAAGCTTTGTTCTTTATTAGTTTGTATAAATTTTTAATGTAATATAAAATTACTTTGTTTTATAATACATTAACTTATACATAGTATATCATGTAACCATTACAGATATGGGTACATATTTTAAAAATACTATTAAATGGTATGTTCATTCATTTACCAACCCAAGCACAGTTCTAAGGCTTCTTAAGACAAACCCACAAACAAGTGATGTAACCCAAATAAGATTTAGTCTAATAAAACAATAATGTCGACATTAATCATTACACTAAGATTTATCTAAGAATAAAATTGAAAACCGCAACTCAAAGGATAGATCAGCGGTTCTCAATCTGTGGGTCGTGACCCCTTTGGGGGTCGAATGACCCTTTCAAAGGGGTCTCCTAAGACCACCGCTCCTCTGTCTCTAGGCAGGTCCACCCACATGCAGATATGCCCACATACAGGGTGAAGACTGTTACCCATACTGCACCATGCTTCAAGACAAAATTTCATTATTTATGAGAAATAAATACTTCACAATTGATAATTACAGATTGTTTTGTGATTAATCACTATGCTTTAATTATGTTCAATTTGTAACAATGAAAATACATCCTGCACATCAGATATTTACATTATGATTCACAACAGTAGCAAAATTACAGTTATGAAATAGCAGCGAAAATAATTTTATGGTTGGGGGGCCACCATAACATGAGGGACTTATTACAGGGTCACAGCCTTAGGACGGTTGAGAACCACTGGGTTAGATAAAAAAACCTTAGGGAGGCAGCGGGTTTCTGTTAATAACCGTGAAATACAAGTAGCTTCAAAAGTTCACGGAAAAATTTCAGTATCTTTCAATTCCATTTTTCCATGAACTTTCTGAAGCCCCCAAGTTTAGAAAGGGTTGAGAAAGGTGGCAGAACTTGAAGATGTAATCAATGTCACTGAATTGTACATGTAGAAACCATTCAAGTACAGTGTATTTTGTTGCATCTAATTTCACTTTAAAATGTAATTGCAGGGAACTGATTACATGGAACTGTGTGTGACCTCCTCCCTGGGGGACAGACAACCGAAAAGTGGGTGAAGGGAGACGTCGGACAGGGCAAGATATGACAAAATACCAATTTATAAACTATCAAGGGCTCATGCAGGAGGGGGGAGCGGGGAGGGAGGGGGAAAATGAGGACCTAATGTCGGGGGTTTAAATGGAGAGAAAATGTTTTGAGAAACGATGTACAAATGCGCTTTACACAATTGATGTGTGTATGGATTGGGATAACAGTTGTATGAGCCCCTAATAAAAGGTTAAAAAAAAAAAAGAAAAGAAAATGGCTCACACAGCAGCAAAAAAAACAAACAAACAAATAAATAAATAAAGATTTATAATGTAAAAAAAAAAAAGAAAACCATTGAGAAGGAAAAGACAAAAAATAAAATAAAATAAAATGTAATTACAAATAAGAAGCATAAATGTCACTGCTCTACTTTATAATTTACATGGAAAGAGACAAGAAATAAATAGTTAATTTACAAAGTTCATCAGAAGGAAGTAAGTGCTATGGAAATAGAGTGGGGTTACAGGGAACATCCGGGTGTGCTGGGGTTCTTAAGAGGACTTGTAGAGAAGGCAAACTCTACGTAAAAATACTCAACAAAGGTACTGAGACACTCATTTTAGAAACAAAACATTTAAACTAAAATTCACCTGTTTCTCTTGTCTTAAAAACAGTATTGCCAAAAAATAAAAAATAAAAACCCAGAATTGCCATTTCTGAGGTAAAAGAAACAAATCCATTAACTTTATAAATTCAAACAAGTCAAGCAAGACAATGAAACACTGACTTCAAGTTACCTTGATGGAAACAGAACCTTTAAAAATACAGAGAAAAATCCCTTACCTTTTCATTCCCCCCACCACCTTTCACACTTCTCATGTTAAACTTTTTGACTTCCTCTTTCACTTCTTCCATATACGCATCCAGTGGGTCTAGCTCCTCGTCCTCCACCTCAGTGCCCTCCTTTTCAGCCTCCGCAGGGTCATCTTCATCATCTACAATGCCAGAGTGCACATTCGTTGTACGTGTTTCAAATGCAGAGATTCTACGCTCAGATCAGAACCCAGTAGTTGAATCTTTATTCTCCTGCCTAAGCATCATGACCTGGTATTCACTACACCATGCCATAGTAGAAACACTTTGACTTAGAAGTGTCTACATCCAGCTCATATTGCTTTGGGGGAAAATAGAGACTAAGATAGAATAAATTTAGAAAATAAATTATAAATTATTTAATGGAAACAAGACGAGGAAGATTCTGATCCAAAAAAAAAAAAAAAAGCCCCTGTATTAGATTTTAGTTACATTGCTAGAAGCAAAACTATTAAAAAATTTTTGTTACATGACATTTTATTTCCTTTCCTTCAGTTATTTTTCTTTCATTCACAAATAGAATGATAGTATATTACTAAGTCAAGACAATTTAATACTTTTTAAATGATGGAGATATTACGACCCCTGATAGAATCCATTCATTTACTTAATACTTTCATTAAATACATTCATTTACATGCTTTCCCAGAAAACAGCAAAATCCCATATTCCTATGAATTCCCATAAACATCCACTTCACTAAACTCTCAAAAGTCAAAAGTCACACATGGGAAGAAGATGTCTTTTTTTTGAGGAGGGACTTGAAAGAGTACCCTACATCTGTCCTCATTGCTAGCATTTGCATTGGTAGTGAAAATACCAGCTACTTACTGACCAGACCCAACTTCCTACTGTAAGATAAAAACAGCAATTCTTACAGAACATTATTCTACAATTTAAATGGTAACATAAAAATCCAAACTGGAGATTTAAAAGCACGATGAGATATTAACTATAATTCTACCATATTCTACATGGATTATGATACAGCAAACAAAGATACCATCATCATCTTCCAAGCTCCACTTTTTCCCTTGCTTCATCTCTTCAATTTCCTTTTTCAGTTCCCCTATGTTTTCCATGGCTTTCTTACGTTGCTCCTCTCGCCATTTTTCCACACGCTCTTTTCGCTTCCTCATTTCTTCTTCCAGCTTATTCTGGTCAAAGTTCTTTTTAAAAAAGAGAGATAGACCAAAAAAAATGAAGACAAGGAATGCCAGCTGACATTCAAATAGTTACTCCAAATTATTTTTTAAAAGATTTTTTAAAAAAATGTTTGTATGTGTCCATTTGTGGATACCATGAATATATTTTCAAAACAAAATCAATGCTAAAGAATAAGAAACATCTTCAACTAAGAAAGATGAACCATTTCAAACACGAAAAGTAAATTCTTTTATTTACAAGAAATATGCATACTTGAATTCCTTTCTCAAAGTTGAAACAATGAGTAAGAAAATTTCCCTACTTAATCTCAATTTTACATCTTCTCTAATTCTCCAAGGCAGCCTCCAAAATTTTTGTTTTGTAGGTTTATTATAAATTAACGTGTAAATAAAAGCTGTAAAATTAATTTTACAATTTACAACACAATTATAAAGCTTTGTTCTTTGTAGCCTTTTTTGGTATAACTTTTCTATAAATAGCCCCCCCTTTTTTTTTTCCAATAGCCCTTCTTCTGAAGACTTCATCAAGATTTTTTTAGGGGTGGAAGCAAGCCACAATCACGTACATAAAGGAAAAATTCCAAAAATATCATGGCAGCAGTGTTTTGGGAATCTGGGACCAGAGAGAAATGTGCATTACTTTCCAAATGTTCTACCAAGGACATATCTATTATATTATGCTTGTAACTTAAAGACTCCTGGTAGACTTAAAGACTGCTGGTAGACCCCCACTAGCCACAGGTCAGGGTCTTGAACAGCCTTACTATCAGACAGAAATCATTGTAATCTTTCGAACATGATACTGGGCCAACTGACCTCCCTATTGACCCAACCTGAATTCGTTCTAGGTTAAGTATCTCTTGCCAGTCCATCTTCCATGACAAAGTTTTCTTCCTTGGCTTTTTAAATATTTTGGGGGCAGTTCAGTGACTGAAAAGTATAATTACATTAATAAAAAACAAGTTTCATCCTAGAAACAAACTCCATACAAGATCACTTGTAAGATTATAAACATACGCCAGCATCTTTTTCTTTCTCATCCTCCTTGTCGTCTTTGTCTTTCTTCTTCTCTTTAGAACTTTCTCCACTCTCTGCTTTTTCTTTGGACCGAGATCTACCAAAGAAAGAAAAGAGACACACAGAAGGAAAGAGATTATTTTATTCCTTTATTTATTTATTTGGGGTTTGTTTTAACCTTTTTTTAAAAAAGATCATTTTATTGGGGGCTCTTATAGCTCTTATAACAATCCATTTATCAATTGTGTCAAGCTTATTTGTACATATGTTAGCATCATTATTTTCTAAACGTTTACTTTCTGCTTGAGCCCTTGATAATCAGCTCCTCTTTTTTCCCACCCTGATTATTTATTTTAAAAGACTTTCACAGACATGTATTTCACTTTTTTAGGGAAGAAATAAACTTCCAAAAGTAGTGTATACATTTCTACATTCCATTGATAAATAACCTTAAAAAATAAAGCAAAGTAAATTTTAATCCCAATAACTCCAATGGCAAACATTAACATGGAAACTCACCCAGCATTAAACAGCTAGACATACAATAAAATTTCAAAATTTTAAAGAAATAAAAACATTATATGCCAAAATCTTAATATGCTACATGATTTAAATACATATAGCTTAAAATTTCAGTGACTTTGTATTTGAATCATACTTATGTTATCTTATAATTAATAGAATTTCTTCATTTTTAATGTAATAAATCTTTCCCCTCCTATATGGTCTGTGCTTTTTTTTTTTTAAAAAAAAAAGGTTACCACAGTGAAGATATATTTAACAAAACATAGACCTCAATAATTACTACATGTACACTTCATTAATACTGATTATAATCTTCAAGTAATATGACCATTCAAGTTACCCATTTCCAAAACATTCTAGCACTATTAACATACACTTAAAAGGCTCTAAGTTAAAAACTTCCCTTCCCTCTCCCACCCATGGTACAGACTGAGCTTTTTTTTTTTTTAATCATTTTATTAGGGGCTCATACAACTCTTATCACAATCCATACACACATCAATAGTGTAAAGCACATTTGTACATTCATTGCCCTCATCATTCTCAAAACATTTGCTCTCCACTTAAGCCCCCGGCATCAGCTCCTCATTTTCTCCCTCCCTCCCCGCTCCCCCATGAACCCTTGATAGTTTATGTTATTATTTTGTCATATCTTACATTGTCTGAACTCTCCCTTCACCCACTTTTCTGTTGTCTGTCCCCCCGGGAGGAGGTTTTATGTAGAGCCTTGTAATTAGTTCCCCCTTTCTACCCCACCCTCAGACTGTGCTTTTTTGAGATTAGAAATCCTTCCAGAGATACCCAGAAGTGAACAAGACATTCTTCAATAAGAGTTCCTAAAAGTTGCATCGTTTTGTCATTTAGTTAGGTCTTAATCTGTCTGATATTCCTTTTTGTTTATAGTTCAAGATAAACAATTTTACTTCTATTTTATCCATAGAACAGCAAATTTCCCTAGCACATTTTTGTAAAACAACACAACACTTGCTAATTCACCATTTTAAAATTACACAACATCGTGGAAATTACAATAAATGTTTTACAACTGTCATCCATAATTGTTGCCAAATTTTCCATCATCATAAACCAACACCTGCGGTTTACTGAAAACTAGGCTCCCATCTTCCCCATGGAGCTCTCCCACTCCTGGGAGACTTCCATCTCTACACATTTGCCGTTCTGGCAACGTCACAGAAATGAGATGATAGGGTATTTCCTTTGTGATTGACTGACATCAACTAGTGTACAGTTTTCAAGGTGTATCCAAGTGTAGCATGGATCAGGACTTTTATCTGTCTTTATGACTGAGCAGAATATATGTATTTGTATGTGCTATAAACATATTCCATTATACATTTGCCGTTTCATCATCCACTCACGGAAACCAAGTTCCTTTCTTTTTTTTTTTTTTCCAAGTTCCTTTCTTTATTAACCATTCTTCAGAACAAAACTTCCCCCATTCTTGTGGCGTCACATGTCATTTATTAAAATGCGTACATTCTGTCTGGGGGTCACGATTTTATTTTGTCTGTCTCTTCTCTAATACTGCAGTTTTCTGTATGGATCGCAACTCAATACAAAGAAAACAAAAATCCTCAAACTGGGCCGGTAGACATCGTCGTATAAACTCATCCAAGTGGTCGGCAGCAGTAGCCAGTGCTCAGACAACGCTGTCGTGCAAGTGGCCCTTTCCAGTGTGGGTCTCCTGGGTCTCTCATCGTCTTCACTCTCTTCTTCAGGTAGAAGAAACCAACAGTTGTATCACAGATGTCACTTGTAAGCTTTAAAACTCCACGTCACTACTCACCAAAGTAGAATGCATAACATTATCTCACGTGAGTATAGTACGCCAATTAAGCTGGGTCTCTCCCACGACTGTGGTCCTAAGCCCCAGGCCCTCCAGGGGGTTGGTTATGGCTGTAGAATTTGCTCAACTCTGCCTTCCGCATGCTTGACTGTGTAACTAGATGTATTTACAGCACATACAAATGCATACAGAGAACATCCACTCAAGCTAACATGGTTGTCGCTATACTTCATGCTCTATGCCACACATGTTCAGCTTACACATGTACCCACTAGTAAATAATTGTTTAATATGACTGCTTAAAAATAAATAAATAAAAGTATAGATGACTATTCCAGTATTGTGTGTGTAACAGTATTTATCATTGTTGCCTTTTTACTGCCTTATAGCTCCTAGTGCCTTCTTTTGCCTCAGCCATGTTGTTGCCTACCCCTTAGTTGTACTGTCTTTAGTGCCACACAAATTAAAACATGTCCACTGTCTTATCAGTGACTTCCCCTCCATGCCCCTACCATCCATGGTAACCAACAAAGACATGCTTCTTTCTGGCTTTTTACAATAGTGATCTCATAGGTGTCTTTTTGTGATTGACTTATTTCACTCTTCTCCAGGTTCATGCACACTGTGGGGTATTTCAAAGATTCATCGCAATTCTTTAAGGCTGCTTTGCATAGAATTGTATATGTACTATATTTGTCTATTCATTCCTCTGTTTATGGGCACGTAGGCTGTTTCCATCTTTTGGGCTTTGTGAATAATGATGCTAAGAGTACAGGAGTGTATTTATCTATTATATATCATTTTTGACTCACAAAATAGAGAAATGTGTCTTCCTTAAGCTTTTTTTATCATCAAAAGTACCACTATAGAGAGTGAAAAAGTAAACCACAGGGAAAAAGAACATATTTGTCACTCAAGTGAATGAAAGTAAATATCCTAATTATTAAAAATAAAACCCCTAAAACACCTATAAACCAGTTTTTGAAGAAAATTTAAAAACCTAACTAAAAGTAAGCATAAAGTTTGCACCAAAAGCCAACTCACTGTCACTGAATTGATTCTGGTTCCTAACGATCCTACAGAGCAGGGCAGAATGCCCGTGTGGGTTTCTGAAGCTACAACTCTTTATGGCAGCAAAAAGCCTCTTCTTTCGCCCACAGAGAGGCTGGTGTGTTTGAACCCCCAACCTATGGTTAGCAGTCCAACAAGTGATCCCTTACGTTACCAGAACTCCTTAAAATTTGAACATGTACTTTAAAAAAGAGGAAGTTAAAATGGAGAATAAGGACATAAAACGGTGTTCAATTGCATTGTTATCTAGGGAAATGTAAATTAAAACCACACTGGTGGGGGGAGGGGGGGTTCTTGATTAAAAATTTGGTCTATGTGGAGCAACAAAAATTTTCATAGAACGCAAAAGTAGCATTGTAATATATTTTTCAAATTTCAACAAAAGTACAATTTACAAAAATAATAAATTAAAAATTATGTATCGTATTAAAAAAAATCAGATCCAACCATAGCAACATAAAAAAAAACCACACTGATGTTATTATAAATACACTTGATTAACAAAAATCAAAAGGACTGACAATAACAAATATTTGCTATCGTCAAATATTTGGATGCTACTATCAAATACTGGGTATGAACAACACAATTCTCACACATTGTTGATGACAGCATATATTATTAAGTCTTCAGAAAATATCCTAAGATTCCTTACAAAAATTCTTCTACTCTCAAACACAAGAACTGATGTAGGGATGGCACAGCCTGAGAGGTGTTTCTGTTGCACACCTCACAACAGCGTAATTATTCGTTCCATGGCCTGGCACTTTTAGTTCTAAGTGTGCACCCTAGAGACACCCGTGCATATCTACACACAAAAGCAACTCACTGCCATCCAGTCAGTTGACTCCTAAGGACCCTGGAGCAGGACAGAGACTTAAGAACGAACACTGACAATGACAAAGGGCAATGCTGCATGACCCCATTTACATGAACAAGTAAAGTACGGAGAAAGACGGGCCTTATACTCGGGTAAAGCGTTGACGTCTCGGAAACCCGCGGGGCAGTTCTACCCTCTCCTACAGAGTCACTGAGTCAGAGCGGACTTGACGGCAGTGGATTTGGTTTTGAGTTTGGAGGGTGGGAGGGAGAGAAAAACGAGATTGTTTCCAGGGTACATCGAGTTTCTGTTAATTATGAAAGAATGATTTGGTCAAAGTCACTAAGTGGTACATACAAAGACTATTAAATTGGCAAATGAGTTATATATTAATTTAGCACAATAAAAATATTTCAAAATAAAGTTTTAAAATGCCTCTGAAAATTAAGCTTGTCAGTGATTTTCCAAAAATTTAAAATTTTTACTTTCATTCTACAGTTTTGTAGTTTTTATCTTATCCATTTGTACACCCATTTACTAAGTCAATAAACACTGGCTATTAATTAAAATCTAAGAACTAAGAAACTAAAGGGAATGTCCTCATTTTTATGAGGGAATGTCCTTAAAAGTATCTGTGAGCCATCCACTGCTAACAATGTATTTAATGGTTAAAGAATGACTGCTTCGAAACAGGGACTCCAGGGAGGATGATCCCTTCAGGACCAGTGGTGAGAGTGGCGATACTGGGAGGGTAGAGGGCGAGTGGGTTAGAAAGAAGAAACCGATTACAAGGATCTATATGTGATCTCCTCCCTAGGGGACGGACAACAGAAAAGTGGGTGAAGGGAGACGTTGGACAGCGCAAGATATGACAAAATAATAATTTATAAATTATCAAG